TGCCATTGCGTGTTCTGATCGTCGTGATGGCTTCGCTGATGCTCTTTCGTGGGCGATGTTTGGGATTTCGCAATGATCCGTTCCCATACTCTCGTGAGTAGAAGGTTGCTTTTCGCGGTTCCCAGACCTCGCTCGGGGTATATTTCACCGAGGCGCTTCGGGTTGGCCGAGTTGACCCCGCGACGGCGTCGAGGGTGTCTTCGTACGGCGGAAATTTGTCTATCGGACTGCTCGTTGATTGGGGAACGGAGGATTTGGTTGGAATTTGCAATTCGGCCTGGCGTATGGAGGCGCGTCGCCCATGACCGGTTACTGTAGTTGTAGCCATTTTGCGCGACCCAGAACGTCTAGACTACCTTCAGAGAACGTCAATTTGCCGACCCCCCCGACAAGAACCCGCACTTGGTGTCACTTACCCGAGAAGGGCGAGGAAGCAGCTGCGGTGAGGCAATTCCGCTCAATGGTTTCCGGTGAGGATATGTGTCCGCTTCTCTAATTAATGGAGGAAAAAGGGCGGGTTGGTTCGCCGGTTTGTCGATGACGAATCTCTTTGGGCGAATGAGCGTCGAGTATAGAAACACACACGTTTTCGGCGGAGCCAAGCGATTTGTGAATGTACCTAGTGATGATGACTAGCTATATGGTAGACAAAGGAATTGTTGGGGAAATATAAGTTTGAGATATGTCCCCATAATAAATTGCAACGCGAGAGATGCAATTTGATTTGTATCGCCACTTACATTACTGGATACGAAGTTGATAAGGGTTGAGGAAGTACCTCGAAAGTATCCGCATGCGCCTATGTATGATTGTTCCTATTGCGTAGCAGTCTCTACCATGCATTATTCTTCCTATTTCCTATTATTCCAACCTCCTGTTTTCTATAATTAAAAAATGTGCCTTGTTCCGTCTTCGTATGCTTTTGGATCCATTACGCGTCATCCGGATCACGTGGCATGGACCCTGATCTGCATGCAATCAATTGTCTTGGCTTTGGGAGTTAGGGCAGGGAACATTTAGATATACATGCACTGATGCAGCCTCTGTCCTTGACAACGTACTATACCAATCTGATCTATTTGGCCCAATATAATTCCCCCTTCTTGGGATTGGAGCAGCCGTCATGCAGGATACTCTAAATCGCATCACCTTTTCTCTGTGTACAAGGTTACAATGTGCAAAACAAAGGAAATATTCCATCTTCGAAGTAGTATGGATATACGCTGAGTATACATTTGGATTGTTGACATACCTAACCATCTACGTTATTACATAGTCCGATCTATAGAAGATGAGCAGAGTGGTATTGTATGTATGAAAATGGAGACCAACTATGCCTAATTGAGTAGTTCACAGGAACCTGTATATATCCAAGTGGAAGGTTCTCTTCTGACTCTGCTCCTTCCTCGATCTCTTGTTCCATGCCATCGGTCCTCTCCCTCCTCCTCCCACCTCACTTCTTCTTCTATCCTCCAGTCCCAATCTCGTCTCTTCTCACCATCCACTACTTCCTCATCTCCAAAAGTTCCCTTATGTTTACCATCATCTCGCAAGAATCTGCTCGGAATCCTTTTCGTTGCATGTAAACTCACTTGGTTTCCAACGAGCCTGTTTGTTCCAACCTTCACGCAGCGACTTCATTACTTTTTTTCGCCTTTCTTCTTTGCTGTTTCTATCTCTGGTTTTGTTTCTGTTTTACTTTAATCTCCTCCAGTTGACAACATGTCTACCCTAAGCGGACCTTCAACACTTGGTCGAATGGGGAATGGGGGATGTTTTACCTCCAATGATACCATTGATGTGCGAAATCTTTCTTTTGGACACGATTCCTCGGTATGCTTCTCGGAAGACAGCTTTGAATCGATTCTCCAGCATGCTAATCACATTGGTCGCGGCAGAACCCTCAGAACTCGATTGCTCATTACGGTTCTTCCGATACGGCTGAAACATCCCGGCATGGAATGTTGCAGTCCTTGTCTGGTGAAGGGGCTGAGCACTCGTCGAGCAAGGTATGTGTTTCCTCTGGTGTTGACTCATGCGTTTGGGTGTCTGTGATCTCACAACCCTAGAAGCAGAAGCTAGATCATATCAAAGTTGAACCTTTGAACGGACAAACATCGGATCTTGACAGAATACTGGCCAAGATTTCCCCCAAAACACAACCCCTTTCACATTCTGAAACCGATCGCTCTTCTGTTTCGTCCCAGATCACTCCAGTTACAACGGTGTCAACTTTAACCCTCAACAAAGCCCCCAATCCTTGCCCCCAGGAAGACAGAACGGTGGAGCTCCTTCGTCTTAGGCAGGAACTCCTTGCTGCAAATTCCAAGATTGCTCTGCAGGAGCAGGAGCTTGCCCAAACCCGTGTGATAAAACATACCTTGGATCAAGCCCTTGGTCCGTCATCAGAGGCTGATTTCGGCAGCCGCGAAATTACAGAGCAGACCATTAGTCACCTGCAGAATGCATTTAATGCATCGAGCTCTGCATTCTCTCACTTTCAAGATGCATGGAGTGCCCAAGACGATTCGCAGTCTGATGTCTCGGATCCATTGTCTACAGGAGCTTACAATAGATCTCGCGCACTCTGGGCCCAGAATGAGGCTGCCACAGACAGAGAATATGGAGATAGCCTTTCAGGCACCAGCAGCTCGACAAGCCAGGAGCCAAATCGGTTCTGGGGAGTCTCCAATGTGTATCCTCCGTTTCCCGGCCCACCATCTCTACAATCGCAAAGACCACACTCGGGGTCCTCAGCTAGTCCATGTGGATTCTACTCACGTCCCATTGGTGAACAGATGTTGTGTCCTTCAGGACCCATAACTGGGGCTCGTCGCTGTATCACTCAAAACAGTAGGGGTGGATCTCTATTCCCAATTCAGTCTACTCCTTGGGGTGAATTTGCTTCTGGGTCCTCCAGTGAGCATACCGTCAAGTCACCTGCTTCGCCGAAGAGACCCCCTAGCGCCTTTCAGCAGATCGGGCTTTACTCTGTGCCCTCTTACCCCCCTCGACCGATTGGCAGCCCCCTTTCACCTACTGCTACCGAGTTTACGGGCACCAACACGAATGAAACCACATGGACCAACTCGGTAAGTAATAACCATGGGCATCTTGTTTAAATTCATTCTAACTCTTGTCAGATGAGCGGCAATTCCATCCAGACGTACGTGTCCCCACTCGAGCCACTCAACTATCGACGCCTGCTCGACAAGAATGTGTCGTGTGATTGGAAGTACATTGTAGACAAGATCATCTGTAACAATGACCAACAAGCTTCAATTTTCTTACAGCAAAAGCTCAAGGTCGGCACAACCGAGCAAAAATATGACATTATCGAGTCAATTGTGCACCAAGCCTACCCACTCATGGTTAACCGCTTTGGAAACTTCCTCATACAACGCTGCTTTGAACATGGAACTCCGGAGCAAGTCGTCGCTATCGCGAATGCAATCAGAGGAAATACGCTGAACCTCAGCATGGATGCATTTGGCTGCCATGTCGTCCAAAAGGCGTTTGACTGTGTTTCAGAAGAGCATAAAGCTATCATGGTACATGAACTTCTTCGCAGAATTCCTGAGACGGTGGTCCATCGATATGCGTGCCACGTTTGGCAGAAACTCTTCGAGCTCCGGTGGAGTGGTGAGCCTCCGCAGGTGATGGCCAAAGTAAATGACGCACTACGTGGAATGTGGCACGAGGTTGCTCTTGGAGAGACAGGAAGTCTGGTCGTCCAAAATATCTTTGAGAACTGTGTGGAGGAGGAAAAGGTGAGACTCCCCGTCAGATACCATACGCATCAAGCCCCTTGTTTTCGCTGTCCTACTTCTCTGCTGGTCCGTTATGTTGAGTATGCCAATGCTAATTCATTGCAGCGACCGGCAATCGAAGAAGTACTGGCGAAGATCGATGTACTCGCTCATGGTCAATTCGGGAATTGGTGCATCCAACACATCTGCGAGCACGGTGCTCCCCACGACAAGAGCCGTGCTGTTGAGCATGTTCTTCGTTGGTCTGTGGATTACAGCATGGATCAGTTCGCGTCTAAGATTATGGAAAAATGCCTCAAGATTGGCGGCACAGAGTTTATGGATCATTATCTCTCTCGTGTCTGCACTGGCCGATCTGACCGACCTCGCATGCCATTGATCGACAGTAAGTTGCTCAGGATTTAACGCCGTGAGAACGTACTAATTTTTTGTAGTAGCGGGTGACCAGTATGGTAACTATCTCATCCAATGGATTTTGATGAACGCCGCACCTCATCAACGAGAGCTCGTGGCGAGCCACATTCGGTAACACCCCCTGACTGTCTATCCTACTTTGAGTGGTCTGAAGTCTAACCTGATTTAACTAGGAAACACATGGTCTCCCTTCGTGGCTCTAAATTTGGCTCTCGTGGGGCAATGCTTTGCTGCAACCCGTCTCATGCTACACGCCCTGGTCCTGGGGCTGGAATGCAAATTGGCCGTTTCAACAATTTCGACGCAGACAAATTTACGACCACGAGCCAATCCGGTGGTCGTTTTGGCCGGGGACATCAATGGGGACCCCATTATGCGCCACTTCGTTGAGTCTGCCTTTAAATACTTCATGTTCCCTTTGATGGGCGTGCAAAAAAAAAAGAGCAAAAAACAACAACAACCAGAATTAACAACGAAGAAGAAAAAGCACCAGTTAGGCATTTCATCTCCTCTGCTTTCAAGCAGACAGTCTGTCTTTGCCGGGTTTGCCTGACTGTGTCTTATCAATATCTGTCGACCCAGTTCCCAATTATCCAATCATTTCTGTGTCTCAATATTGTGAGTTATCATTGCTTGCCGATTTATTCATTTGGCTTGCTATCCCCAGTGGCTATCATTTCATTCAGTCTTATGGATTGAAGCTTGGGGCGTGTAACGTTAAATTTCTCTTCAAGAAAACCACATTGTTATTACCCAAATTCTAATCCATTTGAACATTTAATCCATCATGAACCTTATGTGGATAGATTATCATTTTTAGGGAGCAGCACTTGGAGTGTCATTGGAAGCAGTCATCACTTCGTCCTTTTCCCATGGTTTCCGTCGCCGTGGTTTCTCACTGGAAATATCGTGGCCACTAAGCACTGTGTCTGGGATGTCCTGGATCCCAGGTATTGGTTGTCCCGTAGTGATGAGTTCCACAATGTGTGCAAATGACGATGGATAAGCAGGTTCAGAACGTGTTGAGCTCTCAGCCCCAGATGTGCTTGGGTCGGATGCCTTGGAGATTTGTAAGTCTGTGTTGCCCAGCCCTTGGGGCTCCGTTGTCCGCGATGCCAACCACGACTTGAAGGCAGAAAAGTCAATAGCCGGAGTGAGGTTTTCTTTTCTATGCTAATATTAGTACCCAACCCATTTTGCGTATATATCCCTCGACATACCGTGAGAAAAAGAAACACTTCGCTTTTAGGACAAGGTCGTCATCCCGGTTCATCTCCACCTCGGTGGCGGGGGTGTCGGGGTGACCAAGTATTATTGAGAGGCCATTTGCAAACTCGGGATCCGATATGAAGGGGTAAGAATGTAATCTTTCAAAGATCTGAGCTTGCGAGGCCTGTGCCATTGTTCGATGAAGAATACACACAGATATCTGAGATGCGGAGGATGCGGAGGATGCGTGGGGCAATCTTAGTTGTAAGCTAACTACTCCGTAGCCGAGGCTCGTCTGCTCTGGTGCGCTCGCCAATTGTTTACTCCGCACCATTTGACCGCATAAAGCCTTTTCTACCCACCTCGAGAAATGGTGAAAGCGACATGGCACTTGCGAGAGAAAAAGATTGGTATATACAAACGCCTCACCCATTCCTCATGCTAACTTTTGGCCCTTGAACGGAAAGAACAGAAAAATCCAGGGATATCTTGCGACGCCAGACTATGCAATATTAAGATAATTCCACACCCTAGACCATGATATCCATTCCACCTGACGTTGGGTTGGGTGCTTCAGAGTGCAGGGATGTACTTTTACTTTGACAACCGGGGCAGTTATGCACGACCTCATGGGCAAAGAGATCGCAGTCGATACAAAAGTGGTTATGACATGCAGTACACTCGTAGCGACTGCTCACACTCATTCCCTTGGTCTGGTTCTCCGTAATTTGCCAGTGATCCTCCAAAGGCACGGACGGAAAAGAAAGACCACAGGCAAAGCAAGCCGAGCTTCGCGAGGCTCGACGCCACGGCACCTCGACCCAGTTGATCAAGGGGAATAGATGATGATACGATCGTGCCAAATGGGTTGAAAGGATCAAAGTGAGCCCACAAGATGGGCATTCGGCAGGAAGACTACACACTTTGCTGTTGCATCGTGAGCAAAGATAGCCTCCTCGTGAGGGCTTTGAATGGCATGCACAGAGCGAGGGATAGGACTCCACTGTACGGGAAGGGAACCCCATCATCAGCAATGAGCCTGCAGATTCTTTCTGTGAGTAGGCAGCTGGGGGTGTAGTCACGTCCATCATCAGCTCCCGGAAGTGCTGCTCATTCAGTGCTACTCCATATGCTGTTTCATCACCACCATTGGTTTTTGTACAAAGTTCCCGGCAAATTGCAACCTGGGCTGCGAGCCCCACCATATTAACCCGAATTTTGTCGCTAATCAGGGTATTTATCGTTTGGTGAATGTCTCCAGGATCGGAGGAAAGGAGGGAACCATATATAAATAGCACTTCTCGAGTGCCATGGCTAGGTGTATGGCTAAATTCATCAATTAGTTTCGTTTAAATCCCCCAGGTTTCATGTAGCCAGTGTAAATACATACAAAAGAGCACCACGTGCCATCTCCAATCCATTCTGAAGACTAGGCAAACCTTTCGGATCTTGTGTTTTGAGGGCTTGAATGGCGGTGAGGTGTTCTGTTGGATTTCCACTCATGTCACTGACTCGGAGCGCGAGACCATCTCTCAGGCCGAGGACACCAAGCTGGGAGATGGGATTTTGTTCAAAAAATTCCCTCACAAATTCCTGGGCATATCGGAGAGTCAACAAGTATCTCGTGGGTCGCAAGTCCTTCTCAGACATGGATTGTGAAAGATCCAGAATTAGGATGAGATGTCGAATGATACCGCGCTGTAGTGGTGTCGTATCTTTCAAGAGCCTGGATGACCGATACACTTCAGCAAGAATATGGGGACACGGCAAAGGGAAGAAACTGACCTTTTTCGTTTCCCGGCCTCCAGAAGCCCTTCAACGGTCGAGTTGATGGTACCATCTGCACCCTCCACCAGTGTCTCCCAGGTTCTGGATAGCTCCCATTCTGCGCCTCCGCGCTGCTTTCTTTTGGCTCGCGGATTATCGCCCCGAGTCACCTGTAAATCATCTTCGTCTTCGGTTACCTCCCCCACATATTCTTCGTCGGAGTCGGCCATGTTCGTAGGTAAGAGTGGAGAGAGAAAGAGAGAGGATCCAAGCGGAAGACCGAGAATGGTCCAAGCTTCCGACGGAGCTCCGTTGGAGAATATCCTCCCTATCTCCTCTTTCACCGAGTCGCAAGTCGCAATCTCTTCCAAACCAAGCTTTTTTGGAATAGCTCCGACGATAGCCGTAGACGGTTAAGCTAGAAACCCCCCGATGTGGGGAAGAAGATCCATTCGTGCTGGCGTAGCAGTTCAAGTCCTCCGTCCAGTCACTGTCCGCCCTACCCCTCCTCTTCTTTCTCGCACACTACACAAACTTTCTCTTTCACATTCTCCTCGACTCCGGCCTCGACTGCCTACACCCGCGGCTATATTAGATCTGAATTTCCCTCCCATTAGGCATTGTTCCGCCGAAGTCCGCATGATGGCTTCTCAAGAGCGAGAGACACTTCCTGACGTGTGAGTGATGCCCCCCGCTTGGGCTATTATGTTTCTTTTTTTGCTGCCTTTTCGTTTGCCACATTCAAGTCCTCCCTTTCTTTCTGGTTCGCAGCATTGGAAACTGACATGACAATAGAGCTAAGCCTATCAACTACCATGTCTCCCTTTTCGACTTGCAGTTCGGTGGTTCATGGGAATACAAGGGCGCATTGAAGATCGATCTTAAAGTCACCCATGCTACCAGCGAGATTGTGCTGAACTCGAAGGAGATCGAAGTACAAAATGCTGAGATATTGGGAAAAGATGGTACGTGTGGGAGAATATAATTAGGGTGATATAGAGAGGACAAAACTTATTTCGGTCTTCTTGTCATAGGGAGCCAATTGGCCAAAGTATCCGGGATCACCTACGACAAGCAATCAGAGCGAGTTTCCCTCGCTTTCTCGCAAGAGATTGCGCCGGCAGACGTTGTCCTTTCCATCAACTTTACGGGCACTATGAACAACGCCATGGCCGGTTTCTACCGCTCGAAGTATAAGCCGGTGGGGGAGCCATCTACCGACACTCCTAAGGAGGATGACTTCTACTACATGCTAAGCACTCAATTTGAGTCCTGCGATGCACGAAGGGCTTTCCCTTGTTTCGATGAGCCAAACTTGAAATCCACCTTCGATTTCGAGATCGAAGTTCCCAAGGGACAGACTGCACTGAGCAACATGCCGGTTCAATCCGAAAGAGACGGAAACAAGCCTGGTTTGAAGTTTGTCACGTTCGAGAAGACGCCGGTTATGAGCACCTATCTTCTGGCCTGGGCAGTTGGTGACTTCGAATACGTCGAGGCTATGACCGAGCGCAAATACCAAGGCAAGAGTATTCCCGTTCGAGTCTATACCACGCGGGGCCTTCAGGACCAGGCTCGCTTTGCACTGGAATGTGCTCACCGCACGATTGACTATTTCTCGGAAGTCTTTGAAATTGAATACCCCCTCCCCAAAGCTGATCTCCTGGCAGTTCACGAATTTGTGAGTAACCATTTATTCCCTATGTGTTCCAAGCTTTTCATTTGAGCTAAAATGCGAGTCTCTAGGCCATGGGTGCCATGGAGAACTGGGGTCTTGTGACCTATCGAACGACCGCTGTTCTCTTCGATGAAGGGACGTCCGACAACCGCTACAAGAACCGCATTGCTTACGTTGTAGCTCACGGTCAGTCCCCACATCCATTCGATCTCTGCATATGTTGATGTCAAGATGGATTCGTTATCTGACTCATTTTATAGAGCTGGCTCACCAGTGGTTTGGCAACCTTGTCACCATGGACTGGTGGAATGAGTTGTGGCTGAATGAGGGATTCGCAACCTGGGTCGGTTGGCTTGCCGTTGATCATTTCTATCCTGGTGAGCTTTGGTCGCTTCTGGCAGATGAGCCTCTGACGCAGTATCTAATGTGCAAGCAGAGTGGAATGTCTGGTCTCAGTTTGTCGTACGGAATTCCCGAGGTAATATCCATTATGCTACGACTGATATTGACGTTCTTCCAGGCTGAAGGTGTGCAACAAGCATTTCATCTCGACTCGCTCCGCGCTTCCCACCCTATCGAAGTTCCCGTTAGGAACGCCCTCGAAGTCGACCAAATTTTCGACCATATCAGCTACCTGAAGGGAAGCTCTGTCATTCGCATGCTTAGTGTTCATCTCGGCAGGGAGACTTTCTTGCGTGGAGTTGCGGACTATCTCAAATCTCATGCATATGGTAGGGCGTCAAAGAAGAAGATTTCAAGGAACATCTGCTGAGTGGTTATAGGAAATGCAACCACAAATGACCTGTGGTCCGCCCTGAGCAAAGCCTCCGGTCAGGACGTGCATTCTTTCATGGTAAGTACCCCTTAGCTCTTTGTTTGGCTGTCTGTTGGTCAGCTTGAGATCTGACTGAGCTGCCCTAGAATCCCTGGATTCGCAAAATCGGATTCCCGGTTGTCACCGTGACAGAGCAGCCCGGCCAGATCACCGTTAGCCAGAATCGATTCTTGTCTACCGGCGATGCGAAGCCAGAGGAGGATGAGACGAAATGGTGGATTCCTCTCGGCATCAAATCCGGAGCAGAACTAGCTACTGTTGACACCCGTGCTCTAAACTCGAAATCCGACACCATCAGCGGACTTGGGGAGGGCACTTTTTACAAGATCAACAAGGACTTGTCTGGGTTCTACCGAACGAACTACCCCCCCGTGCATCTGGCAAAGCTGGGCCAGTCGCTTGATCTGCTGAGCACCGAGGACAAGATCGGTTTGCTGGGTGATGCAGCTGCCCTTGCAGTCTCTGGCGAGGGCACTACGCCCGCTTTGTTGACTCTTCTGGAAGGATTCAAGGAGGAACAAAATTATCTGTGAGAAACTTCGCCTTATGGTCCTTTGGTATCATTTCTAATCTCTCATCTTGCAGTGTTTGGTCCCAAATCTCTGCATCTCTGGGGAACCTCCGGTCGGTTTTCTCACAAAACGAGAAAGTGGCCAACGGATTGAAGCAATTTACCCTTCAACTGGCTTCCCCAGCCGCAGAACGGATTGGCTGGGAGTTCAAACCTGATGAGGACTATCTCATTGTCCAGCTTCGGAAGCTACTTATTGCAATGGCCTGTAATGCGGGTCATGAAGGGTGAGCTATTTTTCATCGTGTCCGGATGTTGTTGAACGCTCTCTAATACAGTCTCATTATCTTATAGATTTGTTTCAGAGGCCAAGCGCCGTTTTGATCTCTGGGCGACCAAAAA